TACATGCTTCAGTTTTACTTATTAATGTTACAAAAATTATAAGAATGTATAAACCAATGATCTATTCCTAGACTCCACCCTAGAAATAATAAATCTTGGACCTATTTTTTAAGCTCTTTTGAGACCCATTTTGTCTAAAATGACATATTTCTAAAATATATTAAAACTAGTTAGTGTTAGCGTTATATGCATTAGTTTTACTTATTAATGTTACGAAAATTATAAGAATGTATATTAAAATGATCTATTCCTAGATTCCACCCTAGAAATGATAGATCTTGGACCTGTTTTTTAAGCTCTTTTGAAACACGTTTTGTCTAAAATGACATATTTCTAAAATATATTAAAACCCGTTAGTGTTAGCGTTATATGCATTAGTTTTACTTATTAATGTTACGAAAATTATAAGAATGTATATTACAATGATCTATTCCTAGATTCCACCCTAGAAATGATAGATCCTGGACCTGTTTTTTAAGCTCTTTTGAAACACGTTTTGTCTAAAATGACATATTTCTAAAATATATTAAAACCAGTTAGTGTTAGCGTTATATGCATTAGTTTTACTTATTAATGTTACAAAAATTATAAGAATGATTATACCAATGATCTATTCCCAGTCTCCACCCTAGAAATGATAGATCCTGGACCTGTTTTTTAAGCTCTTTTGAAACCCGTTTTGTCTAAAATGACATATTTCTAAAATGTATTAAAGTTAGTTAGCGTCAGTATTACATTCATTAGTTGTACTTATTAGCATTATAAAAATTATACGAATGATTATAACAATGACCTATTACCAGACTCCAACCTCGAAATGATAGGTCCCGGACCTGTATTTTAAGCTCTTTTGAGACCCGTTTTTGTCTTAAATAATATAGTTCTAAAATCTATTAAAATTAGCTTGTGCCAGTGTTACATGCAACAGTTATACATATGAGGATGATAACAATAAAACAAATGTATATAGCAATGACCTATTCTCACACCCTACTTTCAAGGCGCCTGGACCCGGACCTGTTTTTTAAGCCCTTTTGCAAGCCGTTTTTTTCGAAAATGATAAATTTCTGAAATGTATTAAAACAAACTATTGCCAGTGTTACATGCATCAAGTTTATTCATTAAGGTAACAACAAGTATATGAATGTATATAGCTGAGGTAGCTTGGGGCAAGGGGAAGGAGGTAGAGATAAAAAGCTGATATAAGTTCATCAAAAGTTCCTTTTTTAAAAAATTTCATAGTTTTTTCAATTGTGACTAGTGTCCCATAAGCTCCAAATGGTGTCACTCTACCAGCCATTTCTACCTCAGTCATAATTGAAATTTATAAATTTAAAAATAACAAAAAAAATTGTACTCAAATGAAACTTTTAAACAAGTTTAAGATTTTTTGTATAAGATAACAAACATAATTTAATCCAACCTTGAAATATAACTAAATTTAAATATAACAAAAAAACAATAGCCATATATTAAGTTAAATATATAAGTATTGATATATAAATTGTAATGTATTTAGTTATATATTTAGTTCATATTACGTATATATACATGTATATATATATATATATATATATATATATATATATATATATATATATATATATATATATATATATATATGCATATTTGAATAGATTAAATTGTTGCTATTTGGAATGATTATGACTTAACTTTTTCTTTATAGCTTTAGTTGAAAAATATTTTCTATAATACTCAACTACTTTGCAGAAAAACTGACGTTGAATGTCATTTTTTTGTCTAAACTTCATTAAAGTCAGTGACTAACTTAACTCCTCATTCTGCACAGTCATTACCCACTTTCATGGCACCATTAGAGCGCCAGTACCAGGAAATATCTCAGGGATCCATAATAATTTTCTTACTGTTATTGCAAGAGATTCACGGTATGTAATTCGAGCTTCCGTTAAATTAAAACGTGAAAATGTTAATTTATTTACATCAATACCGATTGAAGCTAGAGCTGATGTGACAACCATAATTGCTTGTCGTGGTGTTATTTTTGTTCGGTTTAATGCTGCATGAAAGAGTTTTTTGCTAAGAATACAACGTTTGGATATTGTAGTTAAAAGTTAACTAGTGCCCTTAGTAGAATGTTTTGATTATTTGGACGAATAAAAGCTTTTCGTGTTTGAATTAACATATCAGTCAAAACTTTTGTCCAAAGACTAATCTGAATTGTCATCCATTAATGTGTCTGTAGATATAACTTATGTTGTTCAAAGCGCCTTTTTTCTTCAAGCTTGCCTTTTCTGTATTTTACAACTTCTTTCTTACTCATTTAGTCTTTTAATGTAATTAACATCTTTAGGGGACCTCTCTAGTCTATCGGAAATTGTTTATCTTCATTTATCTTGGTGAGACAATCCCATTCACCATGGACAATATTAAAAAGTGTATTCATCTTGGCAGTGAATTTTTGTTGATAACTATGTTAAGTAGCTGTTTTTCTACTTCTGTCCTTAGACGCTTGAACATGTTGCTTGTTAATATTCTTGTGAATATTCTGTCCTTAGACGCTTGAACATGTTGCTTGTGAATATTCTTTAGTTTAGCAACTACATGAGGCTTTGCTATAGTTAAAATAATAGCCTTAAGCCAGAAAATAATAACTTCATCTGCAACTGTGTTGCAGGGTATTGAAAGATTTGACTTTTTGATGATCAATTTATTTGTATTGTTATAATGAAACTATAGCTAAAAAAAAGGCTGATGAGGTAACTTCGATGTTATACAATTTTTTTATAAAACATTAAGACAAAGAAATTCGATCTGTAGAGCTGTTTTGTGATTCATGTGCTGGCCAAAACAAAAACTTTACATTAATTCGTTTTATGGATTTTCTTGTTCATGAAAAAAAAAGGTTTGACTTTATTAATGTTACATTTCCAGAACGTGGTCGTTTTTTTATGGATTTTGATAAAGATATGGGATTAATTAATTGCAAAACACCCACTAGTGATCTATTAGATTGGATTAAAATATTCAAAAGTGCTCGTAAAAAACCCACTCCGTTTCATGTTATAGAATTAACGCAAGGTATGGTTAAAGATATAACTGATTTTATGAGACCATTTTATAAGAATAAATGTCCAATTCCAACTCGTCCACTTTGTGAAATTTGTTTTAGAGGAGACTCAAGTGGCATTGTATTTCATTGTAATTTGTGAAATGGATTATTGTTGAAAACTAATTTAAAATATAATAGGAAGAATACTATAAATAGTGAGATCCCCGTTCTGTATAATGCAAAACTTTGCACCACTGTGGCAAAGTACAGAGATTTACAAGTATTAAAAAGGTTTACATCCAATCCTCAGTTTTAAGATTCTTTGCCATACAATCAGGAGGTTATCGAGACATTTCATGAAAATATTGATTCTGAAGATGAAGAGTAAATAGACTTCTTTTTTTATTTGAATTTTGTTTTCATTTGTTTTTTTCTTAGTGTTTCTTGACAAATTTATAATCTTTAATATGTTTCTTCTTTGCTTCACTTAATATACAACAATTTATATATTTAATAATCACAAGATATTGTATATATTTTTTGACTATTAGTCAGGGTATGAAAATAAAAATTCAGATCAAATAAAGACTAAGTTGTATGAAAAACTTTACAATTTTAAAGGCCCTTTATTATCAGGAAAGAAACTTTGCATTAAATAACTTTTTGTGTTTAAAGTTTTGTGACACCTGTAAAGGTATAGTTATATAGGTATTTAATAAGTTACTCTTTAAATAAAAAAGCAAATTGAACTTTGTCATCAACAGTGATATTTTTGAATAAAAGATTTATAATAAAAATTAAAGCCTTTCGTTAACAAGAACTAGAACTATTACTAAAATTTTTTTGACAACTCTAGATATCTCGAACCTCCAAGGACCGATTAATTAGTTTGAGATGAATGTTCGAGTTATCGAGAGTGTAATCCATAAATAAGGGTTAGACTGGATTTAAAAAAGTTCGAGATATCAAGTATTCAAGATATCGAGAGTTGACTGTATGTGATATTGTCGTGCACGAAAAAAGAGCAAAACTTTAAGCCTTTTGTTAACGAGAACTATAATTATTTCCTAAACGAAAATATCAACACTAAATAGTATTTTTAGTTTTAGGTCAATCCCCTCGACTTTTAAACGGTCAATATTAGGTCTTGGAGGTAAGGTTGTTTGGTAAAATTAGCTTCTTCCTAATTTTATTTATATGCTAATAAAAAATAATTAATAATGTCGGTTTTTATTTAATCTAAAAACTAATAAAATAAAAAAAGACACTTTACCGGGGTAAAAAACCTCACTTGAAAAAAGAAAATCTATAACGTAAATTATTTTATTTAAATTAGAAATATAACTTTAATTGAATAAAAAATTAGTTTTTTTTTGTAATATATCTTAAAAATTTTAATCCTTTCCCTAAAAATAAAAAAGTTATATAGGTTTAAAAGTGTGACCCTGCCGTTTCTTCCCGTGGAGTCTTCATATGTAAACTTTATAAATTATTTAACAAAAACTATAAATGTAAAATAAATAACAATTAGTTTAAAAAATACCTCAAGAACAATATTCATGTTAAAAGTAATAATCAAGTAAACATAAATAATTGAAAGGAACATATATATATATATATATATATATATATATATATATATATATATATATATATATATATATATATATATATATATATATATATATATATATATATATATATATATATATATATATGTATAATAAATAAACAAATTAAAGAGCACGTGTTTGCAGGAGCCGAAATATATTCTTATATTTAACAACTTTTTTATTGAAAAATATAAAAGTAAAATAACAGTTTGTGGTTGGGTAAGGAAACGTTAGAAAAACAATATTCATGTAAAAAGTGATATTCTTGTAAAAAACAAAAAATCTATAATAAAAGAGTACTTTATATACAAATCCCTGTAATATTTATATTTAAAAAACAAGAACAAGGAACTTACCAGGTAAATGATTAGGATCGGTAGGCATAACATTATAGGCGTTACTTTTCTTTAACTGTCTTATTACATTTTTGAATGTATGCCAAGATTTTCCGACAGCATTTTCAAAATATACCTTTATTGGTATATCAATTTCGTAAGTTCCACCAAATAAACACATAGTGTTATTGATTGTAAAAGTCATACGTTGATAGACACCATTGTACGTTAGATTAAATATCTAAAACACAGCAATAAAAAAACATTTAATTTAAAACTCAAACAACAACAAAATTTTATAAAACAAAAACATTAGTTCAAAAATAAAACCTTCAGAATCATTATTCGTACCTTATATTTAAAATCATTAGAATAAGTTTTTACAACAACCACTGATGTATTTTCATATTGCAACTTTGTAAAGGGGGGAACAAAATATTCCCAACTTATATTAAATGCTGATTCTGTCAAATCACTATAGTTTAAGTAAAAATTGATATCCAAAACGTACCTAAAAATGATTTCTATCTTTCAAGTTTTTGCATAAATAAGTAACTTTGCTAACTAGTTTTATAAAATGAGTTTATTTGGTTAAAAGGCAAGACGTATTTTGGAGAAATCCAATTTTAAAAAATTAAGTAAAGTAAACAAATATAATGTTATAAAAATAAAGCTAAATAAAATAAAGTTAAAAAACAAAAAATACATTACAAGAACAAATTAAAAAGTAATTTGAAAATAATTTTTGTTGTTGTAACACAGATATGTTGTGTTGTTGTAACACAGATATGTTGTGTTTTTGTAACACAGATATGTTGTGTTGTTGTAATACAGTTACGTTGTGTTGTTGTAAAACAGATATATTGTGTTGTTGTAATACAGATATGAAAAACTTGAACAAAACAATACAAATGATAAAGGTTTTGAATTTTGGTTTTTGCAAATTAACCAGCTAAATATTTTATCATTTTTATAAAAAAACTGACTAAAGTTGGTAATAAATGACTGGATACAGATGACACTATTTTTAAAAAGATATGAAAAGCAGTACAGAGCGCTAAAACTCGTTTGGAAAATGATTAGAACTGATAAAAAGAGTCGCTACATCTTTAGTATAGTATTAGGACTTTTTTATAAGGGAACTATCAATATTAATTATGGCTTCAAAAATAAGGTAGCTTCTATGAATCATCACATCAAAAATTTTAAAAATTAAACGCAAATTTATAATAGTTGTACAACATTTTTAGGGTTTCATCTAATGATGAAAAAGCATTTATACAGAGCAATTGAGAGTTCTAATTAAACGCATTTTCTTGAAAAAACATACAGGTGGAGTTAATTCAACAAAGTAGCAGAACTAAAAAAAAATAAAGTTAAGAATGATCAGAAGGACTGCGTATTTTTCCATTAATGAAGATTGCAGTAGATAATAGGACAGTCTTACATTATACTTTTTTTCTTCAACATCTCCAAAAACTTTATCTCCAAAAAGGCTGCAAGCAACAACTATTAGAGATAAACGTTACTAGAAGTGAAAAGATTAAATTTATAGAGCAAGATAACGATTAGCGAACGATTAAATATTGCAAATTATATGAATCAGAAAAATAAGTTTGTTGCACTAAGAAACAGTCACAGTAAAAGAATAAGACTTAATTGAATGACGAGTAACACGAAAATGAACTTTAGTAGATGACACAAGAGACTCTAGCTCTTAGGAGCAGTGCCCATTATAACGTTTATAGAAAAGAGAAGGAGAAGCAACATTAAGACGATGTGATAATAGTTAGAGGATGGCTGCAAAAGCATGTCCAACTATGTTTACAATGCATTTTTCTACCTTGTCTGAAAGAGAAAGGGCATCATTAGAAGATGCGCCCCATGTATGGCAACAGTCTTCCATACAAAGGCGGATTTAAAATTTATAGAGTAAAAAATAGAGTTCTGAATATGAAAGTGGCGAGTATAAAAAATAGATACAACTTTAGCAGATGCTAATTTTGCAATGGATTTGATATATGGTTTTGATTTTTGTAAGAGTTATTTCGAGAAGATGAGGGGTAGATGACTCATAGAGTACGTTACTATTTTTAAATAAAAAAAATCTAGCTTATTGCTATAAGAATTAGCCAAAAAAAGTTGAGTTGAAGTTTACCAGCTACTAATAGCCCCATTAAAAATGATCTCACTTCTGCTGTAGCAGAAGTGAGATCATTTTTAATCCCAAATGCTCCCTCCAAGCTATTAAAAGTGTTGGCTTCTAAGTAAGACATAACAGAAATAACAGGATATGATAAAGAGTGCTCTCTATCAAGGACAAAATTCATGCTACGATTGGTAAGGAATTGTTCATTAATCTTAAAAATGTTATCTGATACACCTAAGCAAAGTTATCAAGGAAAAAACCGGTATTCCAAGCCTCATCAAAAGCATTAGAAATGTTAAAAGCTATAGCCGTAGTTTTTCCACACTTATCTAATGCAAATTAAAATTTATTAGTTATTACTGTTAACAAACCAGAATTAGAACGAGCGAATCGAAATTCATATTGATGATCAGAAAATAAATTATTAAATTCAAGATGAGAAATTAAGATTATTTATTAATTAAAGTCTCAAAAACCTTGCTTATGCTAGGAAAAAGACTAATGAGAAGGTAGTTAGATGAATAAGATTGCTCTCCAGAGTTTTTGAAAATAGGGATAACAGATGTTGCTTTCCAGCCGGCTGGAACACAAGATTCTTATGAGCACTTGATAAACAATTTTAAAAGTAAAGACAACAGTCCCTCAGAAAAACTGTCAGTGATAAGAAGAAGAGTCTGAGCTGGAAATTACTTTAGAAATAGTCGCTGAAGTGATACGAAGGTCAGGCTATGAATTAACCTGTTTGTCACCTATATCAGGTAGACGCGACTGATGGAATCAAGAGATGATTATAATGAGACATTTTTAGCAAACAAATCAGCTTTGTCTTTAGGTAAGGTGACAAAATCTGAATTATAAAAGAGTTGTAAAATAACATGTTTAGCCTTGTTATATATACTGTTAAAGCATCTCCAGAAGTCAAAAGAGAGCCTAATTTTTGAGATTTCGTGAACTGAGAATAGCGGGCTTTGGCTTTAGACTAAACCTTTTACAATGGTTTTTAGCAATATTAAACAAACGTCTGTTTTCTGAAGAACTGTATTACTGTAGATAAAAATAGCAGCAGGACAATGAAGGTAAATCATGAAGAAAAATGAGGCATAACTTGGTGTGGTCGAGAGGAAATTACGGATTCCATGACAGCTTGAATCCAAGAGGTTACATTAGAATCATTTTTGTTAGCAGGAAGATCAGAGATTTGTACCCAAAGACCATCAAAAAGAAAATAACGAAATGAGTCTCAATCAGCCTAAAGGTAGATGTAAGAGGTACGATGATAAAGAAATTCTGATGATGAAGAAGAATGAGATACTTGTTTTAGAAAGATTAAACCGTGATCAGAAGCATCTAAAGGTAAATGTGGAGAAACTGAGGACTGACCAGGATCAGAAACAAGACATACGTTGAGTTGAGAAGATAAATGAATCGGATTGTCTGGAAAATGAGTTAGAAAGTTGACTATTTGTGTTAGAGATTGAAAAAAGCACAAGTTGTGGGTTTTAACGTCTGCCGGCTCACTGACACTAAAGCTATACAATTCAGTGTGATGAGCAGTAAAGTCACCAACAACAATTATATTATCTGAATAATAAAGAAAAAGAGCCTGGTTAATTTGATCAGAAATAAAATACAAAACTAAGTACTCAATTAACAACTTTGTTGTAACAAAAACTTTTTAAAACAAGCTGACTTTTCAATATCTTTCCGAGGGTCACGATTGAGGAACTCAATTCTAACAAGTAATATAAAGAATATAACATCCACTCTACATCTTAAACGTGCAACAAACAACAAATTTTCAACTTTGATTATAATCAATTACTTAATATCTTATATATTGGCGCAATACGTTTTAGTTTGGTTTTTCAACAAATATTTTCTTTAATATGTATGGATTTCAAAGTTATGTTATTATATTGACGTTCTTTATTACTGTTAAGGGTATTAATAGTTATTTTGTTTTATTTTCTTGTTTTTTCAAGGATATGTGTGCCCCCATAAATGGTCAAAATATTGGTTTTGCTATTAGGAATTATAATCATTTAAAGGGACTAATATTAGCAGATGATGGAGTTAATGGTCCAGTGAGTATTGATATTCCAGTAGGAGTAGATTTTTAGTGAAAATTCTTTGATGATAAAATTGTTTGTGGTAGTTCTGAGCCCGTTACATTGAAGTTTAATATTGTTGGTTATAAGTTGAGTGATTAATCAGGTAAAATGGAAGAAAATAGGTAATTTTTTTCGGGGTAATCATGCTATATTACCAGATAACTATTCCTTGTGTGTAAATTGAGTACATTCTCTCAAAAAATAATGTTCAAAAGATATAGATTTGTACAATTCATATAATGGTATTATTAATGACCAAATATATCAGGATATTATTGAAAAAGCTTCAGTCAATAATTTAAATGCTAAAAGTGTACCTTAAACTGGTGAAGTGTGATAACAAAATTACTAATAAATTTCAAACAGTATTAGATGCCAGTGCAAGATCTTCTGGAGCATCACTTAATGAATGTCAATATTCAGGTCCTAGTTTGACTTCATCACTTTTTAAAACTTTTTTACTATTTTTTTCAAAAAATTTGCTTTTATTGCAGATATTGATAAGGCCTTTCTTTAAATAGGTCTTACAAATAATTGTTGTGATTACGTTCGATTTTATTGATATGATGACATCAATAATACAATTGTTGAAAATGTATCAAACAAGAAATTAGTAACATATCTTCTATGTTTAGAGTGACATCGTCTCTATTTTTACTTAATGAAACTATAAAACTATATAAATTAGAACAAACATTTAAGAAGTAATCCTTTATACCTTAATAAACTTGTAAATAGTCTTCATATTGACTATTTAAATTCTTATTATGATGAAGTAAATCAATGCATTGGCTTTTACAAATGGTTTAAATTATTTTTAAAATAAGTTCGATTTCATTTTCGAAAATTCGAATCCTATTGTAAATATTAAGAAGGCATTATTCAAGATAAGCCATTCATCAATAAAGAAGGAACGAAAGTTCTTGGCTTTATCTGGAACAAACGAAATAACACTTTAATTTATCGATTTAAAAGTTTAATGAAAATTGCTATCAGCATTACAGAAAAATGAGGGGTTCTTATTTTTATGGCCAGTATTTATGATCCTTTAGGGCTATAAATCCCATTGTTGTTAAGCTTAAAAAATTATTTCAAAACTTGAACATTTCTAAATTAGGTTGGAATAGTAATCTTAATAATAAAGAAACTTTTCTAGAATGGCAAATAATAATTAATGATTTACGGTTAGCATAAAAAAAATATATAGCAATAACAATATATAGCATAAAAATATATAGCAAATTAACACAA